ATTTCTCGACGGTGTGAAAGAAATAAGCGTTCTAGACCATTGTGTTGCTGATTGTTGCAATTGTTTATGACTGCATGAAAAGCTATTGTCTGTGACACGTCACTTCAAACTGTTTCAGATGGATTCTCATTCTTTCTATACGTGTTGTATTCACTCACATAGCTATCACATGCGAATACCGTTCTATTGATGACTTTTCTCATTCACTTCGTTTCATTTCGCTTTCACAGGTCCATTCAACTTATCATTCTGCAGCACATACTATTTACTTGATACATTGACGAGTGTTGACAGTCGAAATCAACAATACAGCAATTGAATTGAATTGCTCAACAACGTCCGACAGTGAAATGATCAATTATAGAGTTCAATTGATAGAATGAGAAATGGACTTTAATTGTTGTGTGAAATGAATGAGAAATTAGCAAAAGAGAATACTTTTGGTGATAAAAGCTATGAGAGCGATTGTAACAGCAAGGAAAAGAATGAAAACCCTGTTACGCCCTCACGAGCTAATCATACTCAGAAATTAGGAGAATGTTGCCATCAACTAACCGCATTTACGTACCCGAGTTAAAAACATCATCACAATGGCATTCTATTCTAAAATAACAAGTGCACGGAATACTGATTTCCCTATCCCCTCCATTACCCCGTGACACCTCCAATTGCCCAAAATGGGTTTCCAAAACGGATCATTTTCGGTTTGCTCTATCGTAACTGTGCATAAGTGATACTTCCAATTACGATAAATTACCTCATGGACATCATATCAGATACAGCGTTCCTATTCTCATTCGTCTTCATTTTTCAAAATAAACAAACAAAATACTATTTAAACTAATCATATGATTGCATAAAGTCACTATGTGGACGATATGAGATTTTCGGCCGATTTGAATAAGTCAATCCGGATCAACGCCACCCGCTTCTTCATACCACTACGCAATATTAATCATCTCACCAGGTTTCTACAATTATTTGATTTCACCGGTCAAATCAGTATCACAATTTCTTGCCACATCTGTTAATGCACAACTGCGGCCAACCCAAATCTAGCAATCAATCGAAAGCAATCATTTAGCAATCATTCAATAACCAACCAATCCAAATTTAGTAATTTGACGTAAAATACGCTCTAAAATCCGGTATAATGTCCAAAAATGAGTGTTGTCACGTTGAGTCGACATATATTGATATTATCTGCTCTCATTAAGTTCTCAATTATTCCATGTGACTGTTGAAATGAAAACATTATTCTACGTTAATGATCGCGATACTTATGTAATTTTGAATGCTGACTCAAATCGTACATCGTTATTTGCTTGACGTTGATTATCACTGAAAAAGTTGAGCAATGCATTTTCAGGCTCAAAGCAATGCATTCGCTGCGTGCAATGCTTGACAAGGCATCAGCACGCTTCGCAGTTCGAATGCTACCAATGCATGTAGCATTTGATCTCGCTGAGCAAGATGAATTATTACCATCTGTTGTGGTCATCAATACGCTGCTTGCAGGTTGAAAACTTCATGAATTTATCGTTGCTTTAAGCATTATTCGCCTCTTGCGAAACATAGCACGTTAAATGAGTAAGGATCATTGTTTTGTTCAGGATTAGCATCAGTATTTGCAACTCTCCTGTTGATACCTTCGATGCGTAATTGTTTATTGATGGCTTGGGCAACGGTCAGTATCAACATGGGTGTTATGGCGTTACTGTGTGTAAGCGGTTGTAGATTGGATGTGATTACAACGATCATCATCCTGTTGAGTATCGGATATTCAGTGGATTTTTCATCGCATCTTTTGGTTCACTTCCATCAGCACGCGAACTCCTTCAACGGTTCTTCATCGCATTCCAATCCGTTAGGTTAACCTCTCTTATCTACTTAATAATCTCATTCTCATTTTCCTCTGTTTCCAATTAGTTCGGTAGCGATTCATCTAGCAATTCATGAAAATATTCTCAAATTATGTATCCTGAGACAAGATGCAAATAGTTTGGCCAATGTAGGGATTCACTGAACGTCTTTCGTCGTCTAAGTGCGTGATTTTATTTCAGCTGAAGCATTATCAACAGTAGCATGGCCAATTTTACAATCATCACTATCCACTGTGATCGGTATTGTATGCATCTCGCCGGTCAATGTAAGCGTTGTTTCATGTTTTTTCGTAAGATGAACTCATACAGCGCGAGTTGCTTTCGTTGTCATAGCTTCCAGTACTAATCAGATCGAAATATTTTATGATCGCTTCAAAAATGAAATCAGTTTTAACTTGGTGAATGCATGGTTCTGTGACTGTTATGCGAAGCTATTAGTTGAATGATTGAATTTATCTTTGAATATCAACAGCCACCAGTTCATCTACTGAATTATGCTAAATTTTCAGGGATACATCGCAGAAAGCTTTGTGAAGGGTGTATTATTCGTTTGCCTGATTGGATTCTATCATAGCATGATCGTGCTGCCGACAATTTTAGCATTATTCACTGACAACAAAAATATGGCCAAATAAAATGATGCTTCTTGTTACCGTTCTTGTACAATTATGATGATAATTTTGAATAAACATCTGACATTAACGTCTAAATGGGGTTCATTCAAGAGCTTTTGCTGAACTTTTTCAATTGTTTTCAAGCTTTTCACATACTAATTTTCAAGTGTTTGGTCGCACACCAGTGAAGGTTTCAAATGGCACTGCCACTGAGTTCAATGCGATCAACAATATAAAATGTGGTCAACCGACACATATTTTAGCCGCAAGGCTAAAATTACTCCAGCAACATATTATTTGTTAACATACCTTGAAAAAAAGCTCTTAATTTAAGAAAGAGTGTGTGATGTCGAGCAAATATTTTTTCTTGAAATATAGCTTCAATATGACTGACATTTTGTGACCTACGAAGATCGTATTGATAACAGTTATATGCAGTACATTTCTCCGGTTCAGGTTACCAATGCCCTCAGATTTTCCCTTTAGCTCAGTGGTTCTCACGTTCGGGTGCTCCATTACCCCTGTTGATGATCTGGCAGGCCGCCGTTACCCCCATGTTACCCGAAACGAGTAAATTAACTTCCTGCGAGAACCATTGTCTAGACCATTGTGTTGCTGATTGTTGCAATTGTTTATGACTGCATGAAAAGCTATTGTCTGTGACACGTCACTTCAAACTGTTTCAGATGGATTCTCATTCTTTCTATACGTGTTGTATTCACTCACATAGCTATCACATGCGAATACCGTTCTATTGATGACTTTTCTCATTCACTTCGTTTCATTTCGCTTTCACAGGTCCAATCAACTTATCATTCTGCAGCACATACTATTTACTTGATACATTGACGAGTGTTGACAGTCGAAATCAACAATACAGCAATTGAATTGAATTGCTCAACAACGTCCGACAGTGAAATGATCAATTATAGAGTTCAATTGATAGAATGA